GAAAACAAGATATGATGGTGAGGAGGGGAGAAAAAGTTCAAAAATGTCTGTACCATATAGAACATTGTGTTCTCTATCTCTAAGTCTAATTTTAAAACAACCTAACTACATTATAGCAAAATAAGACAATAGCATGAGCATATATACCTATTTAAGTGCACCTTTGTTTTCTTTGAACTTCTTTTAACAGGAATGGAATAAATATCATATTAAAATTTATTTATTACATAAAAGCATATATTAAAATATGTCAAAATAAACTAAAACTTATGCCCATATTTACTTTTTAGGGACCATTAAAAATGACCTAAATTGGAACCCCCAGTACCTAAAGGAAAGATAAATATAAATGTTTTGAAGTCTGGATTCTGCAATACTACACCTGGTATGCTAGGGTCAATCATTACTAAATCTATCTCTATATTTTAAAATGAGTCTACAGGAGAGGTGCACTTTCTAAAAAAGCAGTAAAGGCAAAAGGCTGGTGTGCAATTAAGCCTTACTCCTTAGCAACCCCTTAGAAAGCTAGAAAGGTGGAAGCCAGAAGAACAGAAAGCAGAGAGAAGCTGTGGTGCTGTTGCTTTCAGTGTGGGACAAAGCCAACTATTTCCTCTAGCCTTGGTGCTAGGTTGCCCAGTCTTGTTATAGGAAAGTTGGCATTTGTATTTAAAAACAGTATTTTTGGCTAAGATTGCTTAATGGGCAATGGCTGCCACCAAGGTTGGTAATAGTGTTCTGTCCTTGGGACCCACGCAGTAGTTAAGAAACATCCACAATATGTCCTCTGACCTTTACCCATGTACCATGGCACAAGCACACACACACACACACACACGCACACGCACACTGTAATTTTAAAAATAAAATAAAGGGGCAGAGAGACAGCTCAGTAGTCAAGAGCACTTGCTATTCTCACAAAGAATCCATGTTCAGTTCCCAGCACACTAACAATCATCCATAGCTCCAGTTCCAGGAGCTGAACCCTCTTCTAACCTCAGTGTATACCAAACATGCACTGGATGCATTATTATGTATATGGAGATAAACACTCATAAAAATAAAATACATCTAAAACTTTAAAAATAAAATACAAACACATTTCTACTAGAGCACCTTACTTACAAATTTAAGTATCTTTACTTTCTGCTAGCTGCTCAATTCAGTTCCATCTGTCTTAGACATCCATGTAAGTCTCTTACCCTGGCCCATTCCCATCAGACCCAATCGTTTCAACCCCTTTTCACTATTCATTGCCTTTCGACCCAACCTCGTGTTGGTAGATGAAGCTGTTTCACAGGATAACAACTTTGACATTCAAACATTACTCTAGCTTTCTGTCTCTAGAGAGAGTCCTCATTCTTATTAGTATTTTCTGTCCCTCCCCACCTAGGATACAACAGCCATCCACTATGACCCTAAACATCAGTCCTTTCCTCTTCTCTGCATCTTACTCCACCTATTAGCCTTCCTTTCTCTACTGGGAGACTGGCCCTGTGCAGTAACATATGTTTATGGTACTGACCCTGTATCATAAACATGTCAAACATACACTCACCATTTCACCAGCCAGCAAAAGCCACACTATTGCTTACTGCCCCTTGACTAACCATAATGACTTACACAAAGTGTTACACCCTGTTTACTTTCACTGATTTCTCAATCCATTATAGTTCATTTCTTCCATCTCCTATCCACTCACCCATGCTTTATTGAAAATAATCAAAATACCAACAACATCCTAATTGCCCAACAAAAATTTTTCTTCTCAGGGACTGACACTTTTAAAGAATCCCCTGTATCTTCAATAGCATTGAAAGGACTTTCCAAGTTTGTCTTCTACAAACCTCCAATTTCCATTTCACCTCTTTCTTCTTTTTTTTTTTTTTATGAGACCTTGTCTCACCTTGTAGCCTAAACTAACTTCAAATGTCAATATCATTTTGTACCCAAAATATCTATACTCGACACTTTTTAAAGTTAGGACACAAAATAATAGGTTTCACTATGGCATTTTCATACATGTGCTATAATGTTATTCATCTAGCCCTCATGACTCCCTATTGTTGGCTGCCTTCCTCTCCCTACTTCTGCTTTCATGCCATATGTATTCCATTACTTCCCCCTCCCTTCCCTTTCCTTTGAGAGTTCTTCCTCAGGGCTGGAGAGATGGCTCAGTGGTTAATAGCACTAGTTGCTCTTGCAGATGAACTGAGTTCAAGTCTCAGCACCCACCAGGTGGCTCACAACCACCTCTAACTCCAGTTCCAGGGGAACCAACACCTTCTTCTGACTTCTATGGGCACATGTTACACATACATACATGCAAGCAACATGTTCATTCTGTGAGTTTGAGACCAGTTTAAAGTGTTTTAGAGTTCCAGGACAGCCAGGGCTATACCGAGAGACCCTGTCACAGGAAAAAGATTCTTCCCCTCTCATGATTCTATTGTTACTTTTATGACCTATAACCTACCCCTACACACAAATTTAAATCTATAGTCACCAAGCGATAAAACATGCAGTATCTGTCTGAGTCTGACTTACTTTTCTTAACATGATAATCTCTAGCTTTTTCCATTTTCCTGCTATTTTTTCTTTCATCTGAAAAAAAAAGTGTCACTATGTATCTACCACCTTTCTTTATCCATTCATCTGCTAGTGGATATCCAGTTGGTTTTATTTCTTAGCTGTTTTTAATGCAACAGTAAACTTGGACATATAGATTTCTCTATGGTACACTGACTCAAGAGTCCTTCCTTTGGGTAGACATATATTACATTTTGAGGATTCTCTGTACTGGCTCCATAGTAGCTGCATCACATACTTGATATCGTGTTATTCCGCATGCTCTGTCTGGGAAACACCAACTGTTTCCATGAGAGACACCTCCTCTACCCATTACCTAACCTATTTCTCCATTCTCTAAAGCAGTAAATTTACATTTTCAACCACCAGACTGTCTCCAACAAGCAAAGAACTCAAAATTTTAACAGATCCTAAACAATTTTTATCCATCAAACCTACTCCTCCACTTGAATGATTATCATGACCCAATCTTTTTCTTATTTTTTAAGAGAGTTTCACTGTGTAGCCCTGGCTGACCTGGAACTCTTTCTGTAGACCAGGTTGGTCTTGAACTCACAGAAATCTGCCTTTCTCCCATCTCCAGAGTGCTAGGACTAAAGGTGTGTGTCACCATTGCTGACTCTTGGTTTTGAGACAGGTTTTGCTGGCCCTATAACTCAATCTTCCTGAGTAGTGGGTTTACAGCACTAAACTACCACACTCCAACTTGAGGTATTTTGTCTTATATATAAACCACTTGAACTGACTATCACTAGTCTCTTGTTCACTTATTCATACCGTACTGCTACAAGGACCTTCCAAAATAAATTTAAAATTGAAATAAGCTACATCACATATTGCCTTGCCAATCAACAAAAACTTAAAAATTAAAACACCACTGTGTTGGTTAAATAACAGAAAAAAAATAGATAATCTCATAAACTTCACAGGAGGAATTATATTAAGGCAAAATAACTAAATATATAAAGATACATACTCTTCTAAATTTTTATTATTGTGTGTATGAAATGTGTAGGGAGCACATGAGTGGAAGAGGGGACTTTTTTCCTCGTAAACAATGGCTTTCTCTATGTATTTAGGAGTTTTCAGTGACTGGACCACCTACAGCAATGCCAAACACACAAATCCCATAAATACACGTTGAATGAATCCTTTTTTCTTCCTTTTTATACAGACTATTTCAAAAGTTCTATCATAGCTTGTTCCAACAGTATCTTACTTTGCAGCCTACACTTACTTCAAACTTGTAAAAGTCAGCTGTGCAGTGTAGTGCTTGCCTTTAATCTCAGCACTTGAGAGGCAGAGAGGCAGGTGAATCTCTCAGTTCAAAGTCAGCCTGGTCTGAGCTAGTTCCAGAACAGGCTCCAAAACTACACAGAGAAACCCTGTCTCAAAAAACCAAAAATAGAAAAAACTTATAAAAACCTTTTACCTCAGCCTCTTGAATGTTGAGATTACAGGTATGCACATGTCACCACACCTGGGTTAGAATACCTCAGTAACTTTCAAAAGCTATTTCCTATAAAATGCTGGTGGACTCTATTAGATGATATACTAATTTCAAATATGAAAACTAGGCAAGTTTATAAATAGTATATGAGTCTTTATTTACTTAAGATGAGTGCCTTAAGGCATAAGAATTTATACTGGGTTAAAACTGTAGTCTACCCAACCTAGAATTTTCTATCTGAAAGTTGTACCAAGAAATGTAATGTTATAAGAAAAAATAGCTGCTCTCCCAGATGTCAACTTAAAATATTTGGAGGTATGTCACCTAAATAACTTAGTTTGCTTCGGTGCTCTAATAAATTCACCATGCTAGAAATTATGTTTCAGTACTATGCACTTTCCCATTCTATTCCATTAACAGGATTTTATATACAATTAAAGTACAAAATATTACTTTACACCCAAAAACATAAATTCATACTTGGTTTTTTCCTGTCCAGTGGTCTGTGTCCGAATTGTTTGAGAATTCCTAATGCCAAGAGTCCTAAATCATGTCCTTCGTGATTTTGAAAGTTATAGAGTATCTTTCTATAACTGAAGAAACCATCTCTATCTCACCTTTATATAGAAAATAAGTTAACCATTTTACTATTCACAATTTTCAGTTACCTTACAGACTCCAAACTAAAACTCATTTTACAGAGATAATTATTTTGTTTTGTTTGAGACAGGGTCTCACTATGTAGCCTTAGCTGTCCTAGAACTTACTGTGTAGACCCAGCTGGCTTCGAACTCATACAGACCTGCCTGCCTCTACTTCCCAAGTGCTAGGACTGAAGGTGTGCAACACTGGACAAGGTATTTTTATACACTTAAGTTTAATGAACATTTGCTAAGAAAAAAATCACCCCCGGTTTAAGTTAGAAAAGTAGCACCTCTGACAAACACTATACCCCAAGACTTACAGGAAATCATAAGGTAGTCCTCACAGTTGGTTTTATCATCATCTTGCTGGCCCACAGGGATTCCGTTGGCATCTATGACTGCTTCAGAGGCACAGTCTGCTACCAACACTTCTTCTGAAACAACATCGGCAGTCAAAGGATCAGTGACAATTTCTGCTTCTACTACACTATCATGAACCACATGTTCAACGTGACCAACGTCAGACACATGTATAGATTCACTTGTCAAGACATGTTCAGGCATAGATATTGAGGCTGAAGTAATATCAGAAGCTAAAACATCATCTGGAACTGTGCAATGTGTTAAAGAAACCTCTTCAGTTACATCTGAGTCCAGCACTTGCTCTGGGATGATGACTGTTTCTGATACATCTGCTTCGTCCATGATATCTGGACACTGGACATCTTCTATAACAACGTCCTCAATAACATCTTGGATTACAACTGAGTCTGGGTCATCAGGAACAAAGTTATGCACGGTTATGTCTGAATCCACAACATCTGACACAAAAACCGTTTCTTGTACTTCCACAACAATCTGATCACCGTCCATGTGTGTAGCACCAGCTCCTGAAAAATAAACAAACTCATAAATAAGTGTGGTGGGTTGAATAAAAATGACTGCCAGAAGCTCATGTATTTGAATGTTTAGTCACTAGAGAGTAGAACTGTTTGAAAGAATTATAAGGATTCTGTTGGAAGAGGTGTTGTCACTGAAGGTGAGCTTTGAGATTTCAAAAGTCCCTGCTAGGGCCAGTCTCTCTCTTTCTCTACCTCCCTCCCAATTAGGATGTAGCTCTAAAGCTCTCAGCTAATTCTCCAGCCATGTTCCCCACAGTGATAATAGACTAAACCTCTGAAACTATAAGCCAGCCCCCAATTAAATGCTTTCTCTTCTAAGAGTTGCCTTGGTCATGGCGTCTCTTCACAGCAATACAACAGTGGCTAAGACAATTAGTTAATATTTCAATTAGTTAATAAGACAATTAGTTAATATTAATAATAAGTTAATATTTCAAATTAATGTTTCAACTGGCAGATCTACTATTCAATTTCTCCCAAGATGCACTGGCTTATCAGTTTTCTGAAACATTTAGATTCCCTTGAATCATCTACCTTGAAAAATCAATAATAATAATTTGCCAAGCAGTGGTGGTGCATACCTTTAATCCCAACACTCAGGAGGCAAAGGCAGGTAGATCTCTGAGTTCGAGACCAGGCTGGTCTACAAGAGCTAGTTCCAGGACAGCTAGTGCTGTTACACAGAAAAACCATGTCTCAAAAGAAGAAAAAAAAAAGAGGAGAAACCTATCCTTGACTTCAAAGTGCTGGATTCTATCTAGCTTCTTCCCTGGTGTCACTTGTCACTCCCAAAAGCAGCTCCTCACAATACAGGAAACTCTGCTACAATTCATTTTAGTTATAAGAGTGATGGGAGATGAAACAATTTTTGCCCAAAGAGATTAAATGACTTAACTGACATCACAGTTTGCATAGTATATGGTGCTCAGTAAATAGTGTTCTCAACAAACGCTGCAAATGGAACAATTATACATCCTTATGAGAAATACAAAATAAAATAAAAACAAATCCAGTATCTTGGCTGCCAGTCCAAAGAAAATAAAGTTTTACTTAAAAAAAAAAAAAAAAAGAATGTCTTCAATAGATCAGTGAGTGATTCTGCTTGTTTTGAAGACAAAGCTAAATCTAAGCAGGTACCTAATTCAATAACTCTTTCCCTGGCCAAAAACTCAAAACAAAAATTAGAGCCCAGTGTTGGTGGTGCACGCACTTTAATCCCAGCACTTGGGAGGCAGAGGCAGGTGGATCTCTGAATTCGAGGCCAGCTTGGTCTGCAGAGCTAGTTCCAGGATAGGCTCCAAAGCAATACAGAGAAAACCTGTCTTGAAAAACCAAAAAATAAAAATAAAAGCCATGTATCTGTCAATAACAACAACAAAAAAATCAAAGCCAAAGAATTTAAAAAATGATACAAGTCTTTGAAGTTAGTTAATACCCACCATAATTACTTCCAGAAATAACAGAGTATGTTTACTTTAACTCATACAGTTTCTACAAAAGGCTTATGATCATTTATTTTCAATATTTTCAACACTGTCATGAAGCCATAAAATAGTAATATCCATTTGGAAAGCAAGAAGATTGAAGCATTTAGTGGCAACGGCCTGGTTACAAAATGTATATACCTTTCTGATAGTTATTTAATATACTACAACCTGATCATTTAAAGTACAATGGGAAACTAGTTAACACTTTATATAAAAAGATACTTCAGCTAAATTGATATAAAATAATTTTTATGTCCAAAAACACACTTCAATGTTATAATTAGAACCACAGATAATCCAAAATTGTGAGTATTTTCTTTCCTCATGTTAACAACTACATAAACCCTTCTGTACTCTAGAGAGTGAAGCAAGATGGTCTTCCTAAAAGAAGGCTCACTCTTTGTGAGTGAGGAGGTTGTGAAAGTAGGGTAGTGTCAGGACATGGAGGACCTTGGTTTATACTTTATCTGTTGGATGACAGAGAAAAAACACATCATATAATCTACATGTTGTGCTAAATATTCTGACTAGTGGGCTAGATTAAAGAAATGCAGGGTAAGGAATCAATGTTACTACCAACTAAGACTGAGACAAGAGACTATGTGGCAAGAGGAGAGTCAAGTGGAACAAATGTAATCAAGGAGCATTTTGTCAAAGAGACAAGGAACAGAACTCAGAGAGATAACTGGGCAAGATAATAAGAAAACACTTAGAGTTTGATACTACTATTGTCATAAATAGAGTATTCCTTATTTAAAATGTTTGAGACCAAGCCAGGCCAGGAAAGTTGCACACACCTATAGTCTATGTAACTCAAGAGGTTGAGGCAGGATAGAGAATTCAAGACCAGCCTAGATTTTAAAGACAGTCTATCTCAAAAACTGAAACCAAATACTTGAGAACAGAGAGAGTTGTTTAGCATATTAGACTTCTCAACTTTTACAATATTCACATATTGTGAACTATTACTTTAACTAAGCAAAGATGCATTACATTTATTTATGATGTGTTTAATGATGTAAAGATATGTTGTTTTGCCTGCCTAAGGCACCTGATTGATTTAATAAAGCTAAATGGTAAATAACTAGGCAGGATGGTTAGGAGGGGCTGGTAGGCAGAGAATAAGTAGGAGGAGGAATCTAGGCTGAGGGGGAGATCAAGAGAGAAGAGGGAGATATCAGGGGCCAGGCAGCCAGGCAGTTACCAGACAGACAGAAAAGTAGGACATACAAAATGAAGGAAAATAAAAAACTCCAAGGCAAAATGTGGATGAAGAAAAACAGGTTAAATTAAGTTATAAGAGATAGTGGGACAAGCATAAGATGAGGCCAAGCATTCATAACTAATCATAAGTCTCTGTGTCATGATTTGAGAACTGGTTGGTGACCCAAAGAAAGCCTGATACATTCACACATACAATGTGTCATAACTGGAGAGCTAAGTCTAAACATGAAATTAATTTCTTTTATAAGCACCTTACACATACACCCTAAAGGTCATTCTACACAGAACTTTTTCATATGCATGTGTTTTTTTTTTTTAACTTCAACAAATGTCATGAACTGAGATGTGGAATTGCCTTTCTTTCTACTTGTGGTATCACATTAGCACTCATAAGTTTTGTGTGTTGGAGCATTTGGGATTTTCAGATTAAAGATACTCAACTTGTACTGACAAGAATATTAAGTTGGTTATGAGGAAGCCAAATTTTTTTAGAAGAGGGATAACATGTTTACTTTCCCATTTGTAGATTCTGAAATCCAAGGGTGACTAACATTGTAATAGTTTAGCAACTGGACCTATAACAAACTCCCAATTTGATGGACAAAAAGTACAATCCAAAAAGAAAAAAGAAAAAAGAAGGTACAGTCCAAGTCATCATACCTGTTGCATCAAAAAATGAGTTTGGCGCCTGTGGTTGTAATTCAAGTCCATCTTCATCCATGGCCTTTAATTCTCATCAGCCACAACTCCTACATCAAGAGGGAAAATGAAGCCAGTATTAATTTGTCTTTTTTTTTAAACATCACACTTTCATTTCTGAAGCACTCAAGTTATATGACAGAGAAACATCTATCCATTATGTAAACATATAAATCAAAAAGATCACCTTTACCCGGGCTCACTATAAATTGAGATACATGCCAGGTACACACCAATAATCCCAGCACTTGGGAGGCGGAGGCAGAAGACTCACAAGTTCAAGACCAATCTGGAGTTCATACATAGAGGGTTCCAAATCAGTTTCAGCTATAAACCTTTCAGAAGACCCTGCCTAGTGAGGCCCTGTCACAAATAAATTAATAAAAGAAAAATAAATTCACTGTCAGGCAGTGCAAATCTTTAATACCAGCACTCAGGAAGCACAGAGAGGCAGATCTCTTTGAGTTTGAGGCCAGCCTGGTCTATAGCATGAGTTCCAGGATAACCAGGGCTACACAGAGAAAACCTGTCTCCAAAAATGATTTATCTATCATATGTGTATGCATTTATATATAAGCACAACATGCATGCCTCGTTCCCTTGGCTAGAAGAGGGTGACAGTTAACCCTAGAAGTAGAGTTATGGGCAGTTATAAGCTACCAACAGTATTCCAGGATTTGAACCTGGGTTCTCTGAGTACTGGAATTAAAGGCATGCACCACCACCACCACCACCATCTGCCAACTAGTTTTCTTAAGGTGCAACTAAAATCATGTAATTTTTTTTCTGTCTTTCAAGACAGGATTTCTCTGTGTAGATTTGGAACCTGCCCTGGAACTCAGCCTATAGACCAGGCTGGCCTCAAACTCACAGAGATCCACCTGTCTCTGCCTCCCAAGTGCTGGGATTATTCTGTAATTTATCGTGGAAATTTTCTGCACCATTTTTGCATTACTTCTCTAAATTTGCATAATCTTTCTTTCAACCACTATAGTGAATAATCATAGACTCCACAAAGTACTTATAGTAAAGTGAGTGATCTTTTTTTTGTTGTTGTTGTTTTGTTTTGTTTTTAGAGACAGGGTTTCTCTGTATAACAGCTCTTGCTGTCCTGGAACTGGCTCTGTAAACCAGGCTGCCTTGAACTCAGAGTTCTGCCCTTTTAAAAGGATGCACCACTACCTTTCTTGACTCCAATTTAGGGAAGTTAAATTTTCACAGTGTACTTGACTCTTTTGGCCATAGGTGATTATCACTAGCTATGAAATGTTTTTTTAAAGGTCATTTTTTGAGCACAATAAAATCAAATTCCTACTAAATGGAACTATTAGATCCATCTTTCTTTGGCCCTTACTTTTCTTTGTTAGTAAATACTATATGCTTATGAAAATCTTAACAAAAATAAGCCATTTCTGTAAGCATCATTCCTGTTTAAAGAGACTTGACACTCATACTATCCCTAAATTCTACCTCCAAACTACCTTTCCATCATTATCTCTCCCACCTTTCTCCCAAGTACCTCCCAGGACCACATATGCATACACACGTCAATAAACAAAAATGGCAGAACATCTCAACCTTGGCCTGTTATGCTAGAGCCCATCAGTAATTCTAGTATTTGGAGAGGAGACAGGAGGACTGCCAAAATCTATGCCTAACCTGGCTTCACAGCAAGACTGTTAGAAACATAAATAAAAATATCTCATCTCTGCTGTGTTCTTTCCTTGCAAATGTCCTCGCATACAACTCCAATATAAACACAAAACCCTAAAAATATACTCCCCCAGGCCTGGTGGTGGTGGCACAAGCCTTTAATCCCAGCAAAGGCAAGTGGATTGCCATGAGTTCAAGATCAGCCTGGTCTACAGAACTAGTTCCAGGACAAGTTCCAAAGCTACAGAGAAACTCTGTCTTGAAAAACAAACACACACAAAAAAGTATTCTCCCTACTCAGAATCTCCAGAGCATTTATCTTAGTGGACTTATTAACCACGGCTATTTTTGTGTCTTACTTTTTTGTGCATGTTCATATGTGCATGTGGGCCTGTGTGTGCATACAAGTCAGAGGTCAACTCTGGGTGTCTTGATTGCTCTCTATACTGTTTTGTTTTTTAAGTCCCTTTTTTGGGATTCCCTATGGCCTTTTTCCAAACATTCTTTATGTATTTAGCCTCAACCCCTTCTTCCCCCATCTCCAGTTAAGGCTCCCATTTTTACCCTCTCTGCTATCTATTCTCCTGGCTTCTATGGTTACTTTAGGTTATAAACAGAAACCTAAAGATACAATTGTAGGATCCACAAATAACTTCTTTTTTAAGACAATTTCATATTGAACTTTGCTGATTTGGCTATAATGTGCTCCAGTGGTCCGGCTGTCTCTACCATGCCCCAGATTTTAGGTAAGTCTGAGGGTCCAAACTCAGGCCATCAGGCTTGTGCAAGTGTCACCTTACCAAGAGAGCAAAGCCCTATATGTGTTATTTTTAGAGGCTAAATTCCATGTAGTTCTTAAAGAAGTAACACGAGAAAAACAAAACTTATATAATGGATATTTTTCAGTGTGTCAGCGATGATTCTACTCATTTCCAAGAAATAGCTATGTTTTGTGTTAAAAACTATTTGAAATTAAAACAAAGGATGGCTAGATTAATATACAAAAAAATGTTCAACCATGAATACTCTAAGCTGTCACCACCCACTCCCTACCAGAATCACCTCTGGCTAGAATTCTTTTCCCTTTTAAAAATGCAATTATGAAATGAAAAATGCAAGTTAACCATCTAAGCATAGTGAAATTGAGCCAACTAAGGCAACAAAAAGGATACATTAAGGTTATTAAGGCCCACATCCCTCAAAACTCCCTACTAATTTCCATTAACTAAGAATTCTCAACTTGTAAAACAACTACTTAGCTTTTATCTTTTTTTGGCTTTTCTATTAGACTCTGACAGGTAATCAATTCCACCGATTCTGAAGTTCATTCCTTCCTGTTTTTTGACGTGCCATCTCAATTCCCTTCCCCTTGTCTATACAGCTAGCTGACCTAACTCCGCTCACCAAATCACAACTGGACCTCAGTCTTATACACATAACCATTATTTCTTACTGTTTTCTCTCTACTCTCCTGGTCTTAGGTACCATTTGCACAGACCACCAAAATCTCTATACTCAAAGTAGAACTTTATGCCTCCAACAGACGGACAACACTTTTGGCCACCTATACCTTTATCCTTCTTCCCCACTCACAATCAGTCCAGAGTGCCAGATCTTGTCAACTACTTCCTCACAGGACTTCTCAGCAATCCATCCCAGTTCTTACTACCTCCAGTCTTATTACTGGATTCATACTTCCTGATCCCTGAGGCATGAAAATAGCCTCTCAAGTGGCCTTGCTCTTTTCTGCCACTCCCATAACAAATGACTAGGAACCCAGCACAAGTAGGAGCTGGTGCCAAGTTCTGAGACATTCCTGCTATCTGTGGAAGACTAATCCTCCTACCATTGCTTTGATCATAGCACTCCCCTGGGCTCAGAATACTTCAACAGCATCCCAACATTCAGAAGCTCTATGATATGAAGCCAACATGCCAGGAGAGAATTATTTGTTGTTATTTTCATCTTTTATCATATACATATTCTAACATATTCTAGCAAACATGAAAAGGGCCATTATAAAACTCAAGGTTTGGAGAAAACACATTTTGTACTTGCAAGCAGAAATGACTATACCTAGGGCTTTGTAACCCCTCTGGGATCAGACTTCCTAATTCCCTCTGACAATCAAAATGAAACTGTATTGTTAGAATGGAAATGACTTAGAGAAAGCAGAATCACCTAAATGTGATTGAAAAGGGTGAGCCAACAATGACACAGATTCATTTGTCTATAGAAACTAACCCCCAAAGTAGCCAAATAAATGGAATGGTTCAGAGCACCAAGATGAAAAACAAATGAAAAAGAACAAAAGAACCAAATTATTACTACTTTTCTCAAACACCCTCAAAACACCTGAGACCCTTTCACCCCAATTTGGAAGAAGATCCCTTCCTGGTACAAAAGTCATGATTCTGAAAGAGTTCACAATGGAAAGAAAACGTTTTAAGGGAAATAGTGAACTGGATGAAATCCGCAAAATTCCTCCAAGCTTCCTCCCTCCCAATCTTTTAAGTATAAACAACCCACCAAGTCAATAGGAAGAGCAATGGCATTTTATCTCTTAAATTAGGAATCTGGGGTGATTTACTTGTTTTATATTTCTTTAATTTCCTTTTAGGGAGGTGGAGAGCAAGGCGTAGTTTTGTAATACAGCCCCATGCTGGCCTCAAATGCATGGCTGTGTTCTATTTCTGAATACCTACACACTTCTTTGATGAGTCTCTTAGGCAAAACAGGGATCTTAGATATATATGTTGCTAACATACATATACAAAAAAAAAATCACTTTTTGCTTGTGGTTCCCCAGAACTTTGATTTAATAAAATGTTATGGCTGACTACAATCTTTTCTGTCACACTCAGGAACTAATTTGTACTACATATGGTAGATGAAATGGTTCAAACTTCACAAATAACAAAAGCAAACCTTCCAGAATTTTTCTCAGAAATTGAAAATTTACAGCTATTAAAACCTAATTAATATCTTCCCTCCAAAGTTAGATTTCTTTCCCAATTTCTTGCCACATGGTTCAATATTAGCCATTTCTCCAAATAGTCTCAAATCCTGAATCATATTTCGCTTCTCTTAGGTTAATCCTCAAAGTCAGTTATTCTTTTGGTTTAATTTTATGTAGCCCTGGCTGCTCTGATCATACCATTAGACTTGGTTGTCCTCAAACCCAGAGATCTTCCTGCCTCTGCTTCCCAAGTGCGGAGATTAAATTAGCCATTACATGTCTGGCTAAAGTCAGATATTCATAAATCTCAGTTTTTATTTATTTATTTATTTTCACTGCTATCACTCTAACAACCTCTTTTCAACTCACAGGTACACTCATTGTGCCCTTCAATCAAGATTTGACCCCTTCTTAAACAAAGAACATTTTCTTGGTTTT